TGTGAATCATGCATTGTATTGGTAGCACCTACCATAGGTAACATTATCTTCATATCCCAAGTGAGGAAACTGGGCTGTAGGAAAATTACTAATCAAAGATCACATTGCTTGTGAGTCAATGCCCTGTATAGCTATCCTTATCTCAACCAGCAAAAACCCTTGTTCCTTCCTATTATTGCTTATACTCTCTCTACAACAAAATTAGAGATAAGGGCAAAATAGTTTCTGCTGGGTATTGAGGAGGGAGGAGAGGGAGGGGGCGGAGTGGGTGGTAAGGGAGGGGGTGGGGGCAGGGGGAAGAAATGACCCAAGCCTTGTATGCACATATGAATAATAAAAGAAAAAAAAAAGATCACATTGCTGATTAGTGCTAAAAGCAGGATTCAAATCCAGTGGTGCCTCTGCCTGGCCTCTCTTTCCATAACATCCAACCTGTTTATACTCATGGAAGGAAGGATATGGAATAACACAATTATCCTTATGATTCAGTTGATGAAATTGAATATTTCTTTCAGTGTTAGACGCATAAATAATCTTAGCATGTGATTTATACAAAAATAGTTATAGTTATACTACCTATGATACTAAAACTTCTCAGACTGGAAATCAAGTGAGAAAACAGTGCTATATTACATTAATGGAACTCCATATTGCAATTAAAATTATAAACAGATTAACTATAGTTAGACTTCTGTAAAAATCTAGATGTAATTATTGCTGACTAAAACATATTATGTTAATGTACTGAAATATTGATTTAAAAGTTGATTTTCTCAAATCCAAGATTCATAGTTGAGAGGGATTTTAGGGACCATTTTATTTTATAAGCCAAAAAACTGGGACAACGTCTATGCTAAAATACCAGTGTGAAAATCAGGAGGCACAGAGAGATTTCTGCATCCTCCAGTCTTAAAGAGAGGCCTAATTATATTGGGGTGATATTAGTTTTCTTTTCTTGATATCATGTTTTAATCATTTACCAAAAAGTGTTATGCCTAAATGAATACAGCTAAATATATTAATTCATTCAAGTATTTAATAAGTGATTATGATATCCCCAGAACTTGGAGAAAAAAAAATAAGCAACATATGTGGCATTTTTCTCCAGGTGGGTGTTGCTTCATTTATCTGGGACTCTACAAGTTAGACTCTTTTCTTTTCCACAAATTACTCCTTCTGTTGACCTGCTTTTATAGAATAGTGATAAGGAATAGCTCACAATTTAATGGAAAAATGTTAAATTTGGACAAATGTGGTAAGATATGAACTTAGTTCCAGAAAGCTACCAGTATTGGTTAAAGATACCAGACTTTGTTGGACGTACACCTGGGGAGTTTCCAACCCCAGCGCTGTCATAATGCTGGGAAGAACTCATTCCACAGGAAAAGAAAATACAGGATGAATTCTTCTCTGCTGTCCAAAAGCACCATGTTCTGGGAAAGATGTCAAGAGTTCATTTCTTGAATCTCTGGTGTCAAATAAATTATGATTTTCTGTGGTTGTTTGATATAGAGTTATGGATAGATGTTTTCCATATTTTCCACATGTTTCATAAGGTCCTCAGGAGCCCACATCTGTCTTTACTATTTTATAAGGCTTCTACTGTGCATTAAATGAATGCTAATTAATGTTAAAAAGTCAAAACTTTTTTTCAGGTTTTGAATATTCCTCCTTAATCCAGCTTCATACTTCACTTTGAGTTCTTAAAATGTTTTCAAGCATATTTCAACATGTAACTTAGATATAATTTTGAAAGTACTCTCAGAAAATACTAAATCTTTAAGCACCAAACCTTTTAGGTTTAGGATACTTTGCAGAAGTCAAAGACTAAGTGTTCAGAGTAATACAATCTGTCTCAATTAAAAAGTGTGTAAATTTGACTTTAGTAAATTAAGTCATTCAAAATGTATATTGCAAATTCCATTTCTGGGTATATATACAAAAGAACTGAAAATAGGATCTCAAAGATACATGCCCACACTCAGGTTCACTGAAGTATTGTTCAGAACAGATGAAACGCGGAAGCAACATTGAAATGTGAATGGGTGAACGGGAAAAAATGTGGTGTATACATATAAATGTACTATTTGGCCTTAAACAAGAATGAAAATGCTGTCATATGCTACACTGTGGATACACTCTGTATAAATTGTGCTAAATGAAATAAGTCTGTCACTCACAAAAAGACCAAATACTATATAATTCCACTTATATGAGGTATCTAGAGTAGTCAAACTCATAGAAACATAGAGTAGCATGGTGATTTCCAGAGACTAGAGAGAGGAGAGGAGAAAACAGAATTGTTCAGTGGACATAGAGTTTCAGTCATACAAGATGAAAACGTTCTAGAGACCTATTGTTCAACAGGAGCATGAAGTGAAGAATACTGCTCTATACTGAAAACTTAAAAATTATTAGGTGGCTGTGAGCATAACTCTGTGGGTCTGTTGGGGGGGAGGGGATAAAGGAGAGTGTCGGAGGGGAGTGAATTCAAGTATGATATATTTGATATGTACCCCCACCCAACACAACAATAAAAAATGATAAAAAATAAAATGAGTACTATAAAAATTTACTCCTTCTATAGACCTGCTTTTATAGAATAGTGACAAGGTATACAGGGCTTGCCTATCTATCATGGGTGAGGCCCATTACCACACATACACACAATTACGAAGAGGATAAATTTCTGTTATGTGTTTTACCCCCCACACACACAAATTAGTGTATATATTATTAAATCTTTCCAGATTTGTTCTAAACACAGCATACGTACATTCTCTCTTACACACACACTTCAAGTGTAGAGAGGAAATGGGGAAATTATATGAAATCCTTCACTTTTCATTCCTCATCTAACCCATTAAACTGTAAAAAGGACTTTACACTGTTACATTTCTGATGCCAGAGTGTACAGTCAGAATAAAAATGTAAAAGGGGTCTTAACACAAGAGGACAGACAGACAGATACTACTTCCACATGTATTTTAATTTATTCTCTAAGATCTGTGTGTGTGTGTGTGTGTAAGTGCAAGAAAGGGAGAGTACTGTCATTTTGATAACACTAAATGCCAAGGAGTCTGCTAAATCTCAGTGAGAAATATGGGTAGAAGAAGAAGAAGAAAGCCTAGGCTTTTATAGAATAGTGACAAGGAATACCTCACAATTTAGGCTCAATTCTATAATCCCAACTACTTGGGAGACAGAGATCAGGAAGATCACAGTTCAAGGCCAACCCTGGGCAAAAGCAAGATTCTATCTAAAAAAGAAACTATAACAAAAAGGGCTGGGGGTGTGGCTCAAGTGGTAGGTTACTGGTATCACAGTACCACATGTAAGGAAGGTAAGAAGAAAGGGAGGGAGGGAGGAAGTGAAGAGGGAAGGGAGGGAGGGAAGGAGGGAGGAAAGGACGAAGGAAGAATCTGGAAAGAGGAAATAGCAGGGCCATGGGAATATATACCCAGAGAGGCTTGCCATGGGTTTCCCAGAGAAAGTGTCACCTAGGCCGAAGTAAGCCAGGTGAAGAGTGGCCAAGAGTGAAGAGAGAGCTCCAGCCACAAAAACATTGAGTTCAGAATCCAGGAGATTGATGCTATTGACTGTCTCCCAGGATCCCAGGCCAGTGAGAGCAGAGATCAGAGGGAACTCTAAAAAAGATAGCAGAGTCAAGGACAGTGTCATTGGTGCTGGGAGGAGGTTGGCCTGCATCACAGTAGAATCAACTGAGCCTGAGAAGGGGACTGGAAAGGATGGGTCTGGGTATGGTAATTGTAGCATCAGAAATGAGAGACCAAAGGGAATAGGACAGACCTATGACTCTTAAGAAGGCTGACTTGACTTCACCTGGTGAATGCTTGGATAGGGGAAGTAAGGGAGAGAGTGAGAAGGTGAGGATGCTGCTGATTTTCTACCTGAGCACAAGAGAGGATGGTGAGGTCCTTAAGAGAGACAGAGAGAGAGAGAGAGAGAGAGAGAGAGAGAGAGAGAGAGAGAGAGAGAGAGAGTGTGTGTGTGTGTGAGTGTGTGTGAATTTCTGCCCAGGTGGAGTTTGTATGGAAATACAGATCTGTTACAGACATGCAGGTTCAAAATGCCTGCATATTCTTTGTTCTTCCCATTCTAGCCATCTCAAACAGAAAATACCCGAATTTTCTCCATCACAATCTAGAAAATAAGGCTGAAAAGAATATTAGACATCATTTCATTCCATCCCCTTCATTCTATGCATGAAGAAATCAAATGCCCCCAAATTAGGTGATTCCCCAAAGATGCACAACCCCTCACCCCAGAACCAGTATCCAGTGCTCCCCCAATACTTTCTGAAGCATGCTCTCCTTTCTTGCTTTTCTCAGTTTTGTTTGTTTGTTGAGGTGCTGGGGATTGAACTCAAGACCTCATGTTAGCTCAGCAAGTGTTCTACCACTGAGCTACAAGCCCAGTCCCTTTCATAACTTTTCTAGTCATCATCTTAACCACTTTTCCTGAATAAGTCCAGCCTCCTGGTGGCATTTGTTTGAACCTGAGAAATCTTTGGTCTTCCTACCAGTTGAGGCCTCAGAATATAAAAGCCATGTATTCATGAAAGTTAAAAGTAATCAGAAGCAGTTGAAAAGGTTAGAAGTAGCTAAAATTGTTCTCTGGTCAGTTTGTTCATAGAAAACTCACTAGGTCATTTCAGCTTTCATTATGCTTACTTCAAAAACAACATAAAATATTGAGTATATTATTTTATATCAATTTCTATGTCTTATAACTTCCTATGAAAGTTTGGTTTCCTATAAAATTTCACTCTTGTCATATAGTTTCCTATAAAACTTCATTCTTTAGATGAATGTTTTTAACTATGTGGAGACATAAAATCTATGGGTTTTGTTCATTGACCTTCCATTTTTATAATCTATTAGGGTGAAATGGCAAATGTCAGAGACAGCATAATATTGAAAGTGGGAAGAAAACCAAACCCTTGACCCAACACAGGTAAAAGAGGACAAAATGCTTACCTGAGGCGGGAGTCCTTAAAGGTATCAAGGTATGCAGGATAGCTCCACTCAATTTTATTTCCTTTACATCGAAGTTCTACAGTCTGTCCTGCCATCACACTCAGGGTGGCTGCTGGTTTCTGGAAGCGACCTTTATCCATCACTTGGATCATGATAGACTGAGTTTTTGGTGTTGAATCAGTTGAGTCCCTGTCCTTTGTTTTAGGAATTTTGGGTTTCACCTTTTTGTTAGTAGGTTTGATTCTATTCTCTCCTTGTTCCTTTGGACGCTTGCTCTTGGGAGGGTGTTGTCCAGCAACTGTACAAATTTGAGGGGAGAGCAATGGCTACAGTCACAGCATCCAAAGAACATGTGAGACCCAGCTAAGGTAACTTCTTAATAATCCCCACTTCATATGTCAAATTTATTTCCAGTAAGTCATAATAATTGTTGCCTTGATCCATTCTTTAGTTTTAAAACAATCATTAAACAGGAATATATTTCAGCTTCAAAGATATTATTCAAAATCAGCAAAATATTTCATGTATGAACTAAAATTTGCCCTTCCAAAATGAAAACATTATTAAGTTTGGGTTTGCTATTTAAATACAGAAATACATAATCTCACTGGACAGTATATCAAATAGCACTGGAAGTATACTCAAAAGGTTTGGACCCTTTCTGAACTCTCCTTCAAAATGAAAGTGTAGAAGGGAATTTACGTCTGTCGGAGGCTGACAAAATACAATAGAATACAAGATTTACTAAAGAATAAGTACGAGCTGGGTATTGGTGATTTATGCCTGTAATCCCAGCAACTTGGGAGACTGAGATCATGAGGATCTTAGTTTGCAGCCAGCCCAGGCAAATAGTTTATGAGTCTCCATCTCCAAAATAACCAGAGCAAAATGGACTGGAGGTGTGGTTCAAGAGGCAGAACTCTTGTGCACATGAAGCCCTGAGTTCAAACTCCAGTCTCACCCTCCCCCCAAAAAAAGAATAAGTGCTAAACGTATACTAATTTGAAGCTTACATAAAACTTATTAAAATTCAACTTTAGCTGTAGTGATGAGTTAGAGTTTGGCCAACAAAATATTTTTGGAGGAGGGGTATCTTTATCACCAAATTGTTGAGAGTTGCTGGCAAATAATGATAATAAAAAGCTGACCTACTTTAAGTTGGCTTTATTATTGTTTTTGTCATCTCCACAGACAATGCACCCCTTATTGCTTATAGCCAGGGAGGGTTGTGCCCACAGCCTTGCCCTTCTGCAGGCCTCTGGACTTCAGAAATCTCAACTATGGCCCTTGCATTTGTGCAGTTGTGTCTACCCTGCAGGGATGAAAAAGTGACTGTGTACATCTGTCTTCATACACTCAAAGGTCACATTGTTATATGTCCACAGAATTACAGAACATCCAAACTTATAGGATCCTGAGAAGTTATTAAGGTAAAGGCCTCATGCTATAGATTAAAATAATAAAGGATGCCCTGAAAAGTTGTGTAAGTTGTACATAGTCATTCAGCTGATTAGTGGCAAGTCTCCTGACTCCCATTCCAAAGTGTTCATTTCACTTTATGGAGATAAACATTTTATGTCTCATTTAAATAAATGGCTACACAGATTTTAGGCTGTTGAGAGACTTGCGGGGTATTTGTATAAAATGGGGAAAGTATATTAGGTGAAAATCATAGTCAAAAATTCAATTGATTGGGACTCGAGCATAGATGGAGATGGTCTTGGCTTCCTTTCTGTGTTGCCCTTTGGTCTTTGAGATGGGAGGCAATTAGCCTTCACTCTCAGTTCAGTGTGGCCCGGTCCTAGGAATGAATCCCACTATTAGAACTGCAGCTCAGTGTCCACATCTGGTCCTTCTTTGACCCTGTACACATTGCTCCCTGAAGCCTGCTCTCTTTTCTGTGGCTCAGGATCAGTTGGGATCAGTCTCCTCGTCTAGGTTTGAGTCTTATTTCCCTTCCTTCCTGTATTCTATTGGTCCTGGGTCCCAATGCACTTTCTAAATCCTTCAAAGGAATACAGTTGTGTCCTTGAGCCCTAGTTAGTCTCCAAGGTGCAGTCCCTAGTACCTGCTGTTGAACCTGCTGTTATCCCAGACTCCCTCCAGCCCTGAACATCTGGTTTATTCACCTCTGGTTCTAACAACAGGATAGACAGTGGCTCTCATGCACAAGATCCCAGTGTCCTAGAAGGAGAATCACTGTAGCCATTGGGAACATACCAGACTGACAGACGTAAGAAATTCAGCAACATCAATTGTGAAGCAAAGCCTCAGCTTTCACTGGGGCAAAGATCATATGTTTTTCCAAAGCTAAAAAATAAGAATGTTCCTCTATAATGTCCATCTTTATATGTGTCCTATAAAGATTTTGGCTACCCTGTGCTTACAAGATTAAAGAACCTCTGGATTGATGTCTAACTTGGTATGTTTTCTTTATGTTATGAGAATTCAAGCACTCAGAAATGCCAATAACATTCTTTAAATCCTTTGGAATTGCCTAACTTCTGAGACATTGGATCCTCCTGAGTGGCTATGCTACTCAGGAACACTGGATTATCTGACTATGGATACCATGCTTTCAAATATTTGTTATTGTACCTGCAAAATAACTTGACCTTTGAACCAAATAGACCCACCAGTTGAATTAACTGTATCATTGGTCCAGTTGTCTGACTGCAAAAATTGATCTATGGTTTGATGGTAATGATACTAAGTTAAAGAAGCCAGCCTAGGGGTCAGGGTATAGCTCAGTGGGAAAGCATGTGTTTAGCATGTGCAAGGCTCTGGGTTCAATCCATAGCACAAATAATGCAATAAAACAAAATAAAAAAACCTAGTCTAGTGGTTCCACAAACATCCAGAGAGTCCTGGGATTGAGTGATTCCCAAATCCATATTTAACTTTTTAAAAGAATATGATATCAGCCTAACTTTGTAAAATAGTCACATTACCAAAGCCTTAAAAAAGTAAGAATTTATATTATATGTAAGTGAAAATGAAAAGCCCTTACCATTACATTTTTAGGACAGTTGCATAGTATATTTTATAGAGAAATAGGTGGCAAAATTCACACACCATGAGTTAACATTATTGACTTCGGGTCCCTGCTTGCCAACCGCTAGCTGTGGTCCTGGGTCTTTATTTGTCCTCTCTCTGTCTCACCTTCCTCATTGGTCAGTTGAGAATAGTGGCAGTAGTAACTATCTCATGGATTGCTGTAGGAATTAAATGAGTCAGTATGTTTAAAACGCTGAGAAGGTGTCTAACCCATAGTGTGAGCTAAATATTACTGGTTTTGTGCTTATTTAATGTAACTCCATAATAAACAGGTGGTGGAGACAAGCAGCTGTTATCTTTGTAATTTACAGATGCTAAGTAGCTAAACCCAGATCTGGGAAAAGTCAGATCCTTTGCCTCTAAGTCTAGAGCTTTCTCTGGCTTATGTCATTACCTCTCCAATCACTTAGAGATTAGCATACCTTGCGGTTTCACTTTATTGGCCCAAATCTCAGGCACAATTATTGTCTAAGTGGATTCTTTGTATGATAGGCCAGGCCCTTAACGAGGAGTTCCAAGTCAAACAGAACTTGATGCTGGGGATGTGAGCACAAGGGCCGGAGATGATTTTTCATAGCATACATTAGCATCCCCAAGTGAGAAACGCTGATCCAAATCTCCCAATGAATGAACAAATGAACAAAGCAAGAAACAAGCAGGAAAAGGACAGTTTTTATTTGGCATCACCTGAGGATTAGAATCAGGCCATATTCATTAAAAGTAAACTAGTTAGCCTCCCTAATTCCACAGACTCGTTAGAGGAGAAAATAAATTCAATAGAAGAATCACTGCTGCTTGGAGGATTGAACCACAAACACAGTCATTAATATCACAAGCTGCAGCCGTTTAAACTCCCTGACGGGCAGCTGAGGGTTAAGCCCAGCCCTGTGGGTGACATCAAATAACCACACTATAAACTTTCTGAGCAGTTCAGGTGTTCCCCATTTAGTTGTATAGACTGAGAGACAGCCTCTCTCATTTTTCTATTCTGAAACACTCCCACAGTACACATACACTTTTCTAAGAACACAGCTGAGAAGCTGGAAGAAGTGACACAAGGGAAACAAAATGGCAGAAAGATCCAGGTCTCATATGACATCTCTGCAGTAGTGTTGGGAGCTCTTCCTGCTCTTTCTTTCCTGCTCAATCTGAACTCACAGGGCTTAGTCTTGAAATTCTAAATGCACTTCCTGTCCAAGTGATCTCACACCATCCCTGTGTTGAGCAGCATTTGCATACTGAAAGATGCCCTAGCTCCTGGCTGAACTGGCCTTTAATCTCCAGATTTGAATATTCAGCAGTTTATTCTGCCACTTGGAAGACTAGCAGGATTCTCAGATTTAATCATCCAAAGCCGAACTCTGGATGCCTCTTCGAACCTGCTCCTTCCCCAGTTCCCTTTATCAATAAGTGGCAACTCCAGTCACTCAGTTGCTCTGGACAAAACCATCAGTCTCACTCTGTCCTTTTCTTCCTTTCCTAAACCGCATCAAACCCAGCAACAAATCCTTTTGGTTTCAACCTCAAAATAAACCACGAACCCAGGCTCTTTTTCTTCCAGCCACTTCCACCACTCTGTGCCAAGCCACTTTTCATCCAGACTATGAAACTGTCATCTAGTTTAGAAAGAGCTAACTCTTTTATGCCTACAAGACTTTACCATTCCTATCTTAGATCTTATGGTCTTTCAGCCACCCTGGCCACTGAAACAAGCCCACCTAGGTGTTGCACTTCCCACATCATGGCCTGCACAGCTCTTCCTTCTAACATCTGCAAGGGTTGCCTCCTCACCTCAGGTGGCCTGACTCTCCACACAACTTGACACCCTCTTGATCCATGCTTTTTTGACCTTTAGTCTAACATGGATTTGTTTTCCATCTTATGAAAGGGTTTCCTTTCTGAGAGAACTAAAATAATTCGTTATGTTTGAAGGCAACATAGCCTGATCTGTAAGAAAGTAAGGAGAGCAATACGATGCCCGTGATTCTCTAACCAAAACCGTACATCGCTTTTGTGTCTCAATTTATTCCTTGAAAAAGAGAGTAGAAATTAGTTCAGAAAACTTTTTAATGAACAAAGAACTGTAAAGTTCCTCCTTGCTTACAAGTGCAAATAATGAATGTTTCAAATCATTTAGGATCTCAGCCTATATATTTGACATGCAAAATAAGCATCAATACTTAGGGCCAAGAAAGAGGAAAGGACAGGAGGGAGACCTGGCTGCCAGAGGTGTGAAAAAAATCCTGAGGAATGATGGTTTTCTCTGGACAAGGTTTAAAGGCTCTTTCTTCCTGGCCTCATAATCAAATGGCAAGGACAGATAATAAATAACAAGTAAAGATATAATTTTAGGAAGTGATAAGTGCCATGAAGAATCATTAATCAGGGCGTTTTAGCTCCCTAGAGCTGCTGCAAGAAAATATGGGTTCAGTACCCCTTAACCTGAAACGCTTGGGACAAGAAGTATTTCAGAGTTCAAATTTTGGAATGTTTACATGCACATAATCAAATATCTTGGGGATAGCACCCACATCCAAACACAAAACTCATTTATGTTTCATGTACCCAAAACCTAAAGGAGATACTGTACAATGCTTTTAGTGCACCTGCATTTTGACTGTGTTGTGCCACATGAGGTCAGACATGGAATTTTCTACTTGTGCTCAAAAGGCTTTGGATTTGGAGCATTTTGGATTTCAGATTTTCAATTTAAGGATATTCACCCCCTACTATGAACCAGGTGGCCTAAAACAACAGAAATTTATTCTTTCATAATTCTGGAGGCCAGAAATGCAAAATCAAAGTGTCAACAAGGCCCTACTTCTTCTGAGACTTTGAATAGACTCCTTCTGCACCCCCTTCCTTGCTTCTGGTATCATCTGGCACTCCTTGGCTTTCAGATACATCACTCTAATCTCTTCTGTTGCCACATGGCTGTCTTATCTCTATGTGTCTCTGTCTTCATATGGCATTTTCTTCTCTCTGTGTGTCTCTTCTTAAAAGGACATAGTCATACTGGATGAGCACCTATCCAAATGACCTCATCTTAATATGGTTACATATGTAAAGACCCTGTTCTTGAGGAGGCCATAATCATAGGTAGCAGGAATGAAGATTTCAACATAACTCTTTGAGAGACACAATTCAACAAATTCCCAGGGTGAGACATGACAGAGGAGTGAGGGTGTACCTCAACAAACAGTCAATAACAAGTCAATATTTATGCTCCTGATACTAAATACAAATACGTAGATAAATAAAAGTTAGTAAGTGCATGTGATTTCAGGCTTTTGAATGTTAAAATGCCAGTGCGTTACCAACACACACAGTGGCATATATTCCACAGAAATGCTGAAAATACGGCTGTGAGGGGTGCCTGCTTCTAACTGGGATCTTGGGCTATTTACTGTTTTCATGCTTCTGTTGAATATCATAGGTGGAATATGTGCCAGTCCAGCTCCCCCTCTTCATGAAAAAAATTACATTTCTAAAAATGTGATCATTCTAGAATTGGGCTAGGCAAACTTCCTTGGGTTCAGACAGATGTCTATTCGCATAAGCATTTTCTTTTTCAAAGAAAAAGGCTCTCTGCCAGATGTGGTCACCCAAACCGAAAAAGGCAGTGGGATAAATTAAGTCATAGTCTTATGTCCCCAAGTTTGTGCTTGGGGATAACAGCTGGCAGCATATCCCAACCTGCCAATCAGAGTCTGGCATGGAAAGAGCATGCTGCATAATCCACTCACACTGCTATATAACTTAATGAGGCAGATTTGCTTTAACAAGGATGTGTTCAACATTTTATCCATAGCCTATAAATTGTATATGCAAACTTAGAAAAAAACCCTGGTGCTTTTATCACACCTAAAATGTATCCATTACTTCTTACAACATATCTCCATATGTGGGGCTGGTGGAATGACTCAAGTGGTAGAGCGCCTGCCTAACAAAGCCTGAGGCCCTCGTACTGCAAAAAACCGAAACAAAAAATTACCTCAGTCTGTATTCAGCTTTCGCTAATTGTCTCAGATTGTTTATTGTTTGTATGAATTGTATTTTATTTAAACAGATGCTAATTTAGGTAGGCAGATGTTTGCAATCATTCACGTGGTCTTGAGTACACACACATTGGCCGAAGTCACTTCCTGAGATTCAGGTTGGCATTGGGTTTAAACAAGTGAATGGACTGTTGAAAGTTATTTAGTCTGGTCATCTCCTGTGCTACTCAGGTTTGTAGTTTACAAACTGAACTCATGCCAGTTTCTCTGTGGGCAGAGTCCATGTTCTTTTCCCAGGAGCAGTGCTACCTACAAAACTTTCTTAAGCAGGGCTCTGGGCAGAAGGATCCTTATGCTCAAGGTCAAGTCCCACAGCCAGCTTAGACTCTGAAAACTAGAACGTGGTATTTTTCAGCAAATGATTGTAGTCTTGTAGGATAGAAAGGAATGGTCAGGCTTGAGGACTGGATGAAATGTGAGCCAGGTTGAGCTGGCTCCAGCATGAGGTTGCATAACAGTAAAAGCTGCTTTTCAACCCAACCCGACCTAAGCAAATTTGTGGCTATAGTCGAATTTCAAGGGAGGTTTGAGGATTTCAGGATGTAATCAGATGAAAGATGTACTGTACAAATGACACCAGTTAAATAATTAATGCAGAAAACAGAAAGAATTAGACAACAGTAATGTACCATAATATGCATATCAATAACACACACACGAATATACACATAAAAATCAAGCCTGACCCTGTAGTTATGAATCCACATTACAGGGTGGATCCAGGACAAGCACACATTTAAAAAAGTGCACTGATGCACGGTCCCCAAATGAGGTACAAAAGAAAAAAGAAAGTATTTCCTCACATTTTCCCACCCGATCAGATGGAAAATGTAAGAAATATAAGAGCTGTAGAGTTTTAAAATTTCTGTACATAACACTGAAACCTGCAGAAGTCATTTTAAGAAGGGGGAGGGGAGAGGGAGAATAATGAGAGGGATGAACCAAACCAGGATACATTGTGCGCACACATGTCACAAGGAAACCCCGTGTGCAACTAATATACATAATTTAAAAAGTGGGGGCTGGGGGGGAGGCGAAGACCTACACAGATCTTGCAGGATATAAGCTCAAGGTGGGATACAAAAACCCAGGACTGAGGAAGGGAGGGGAGGCCACAGGCAATTTTGCACAAGAATTGCCTTGCTTAGCTGGCTCCCGCCCTGGGGAGCAGAAGCTGGTCCGCCCCACCTCCCCTACTGACACGTTGACACGCGGCTGGACCAGGCGCGGGTTGGGGATGCTGGGCTTGCCCACCGAGGGCTTTCCGGGGAGGGCTGGAGCTGTCTGATGGGCTCCTAAGGGTCAAAGTAGCTGCTACCCTCCAGAAAGGAGACCCCAACTAGGAAACCAAGTGCAGGGGGCAGGGAGGCGCGGGAGCAAAGCGCACAGGCCAGAAGTTAGAGGAGTCGCTGGCGGAGGACGGGCTGGGGGTCCCGGCCAGCGCCACTCACCATCCTGCAGCGCTTCGTGCACCAGCAGAAGGCCCAGAAGCAGCCAGAGCTTCATCTTCAGGGCTGGGTCCCGGGCAGGCTGCGGGGACCGCGGGTCGGGGGCGCGGCGGGCAGGGCAGGCAGGGCAGGGAGCCGCCTCGGGGCGGGAGCCGCGGGTGAGGATTCGGTTTCATGAGGAGGAACACAATTTGGGGGAAAAGTTGGCTTTTTTTTTTTTTTTTAATTCTCTGTATAATGTGACCTCTCCTGCCTCCTGGTGGAGAAGTGAAGCACAGCCCTATTTTTCAAGAGCAGGGATGAAGGTCTAAGGGCAAAATGTCCATGATAATAGTCACTCCTTGATTTTCTCCACCACCGGACTTTTTTTTTTTAATGGCCACCAAGTTCAAGACTGCCTAGTGTAAACTGCGGATACTGATGGAACCACACAATTGTAACTGTCTAGATGTCACCAGTGCTCACCCCCACCTGCTCAGGCAGGCCTTGGTGCTTTTTAAGAAGATTCCCTTAAATATGTGTTCATTTCCATAAGAAGACCTCTCTCTCTCTCTCTGTCTCTCTCCTGTCTCCTCCCTCCCCCCTTCTCTCTCATCGACAGGACTACTGCCCTTCATTATTCTTACTCTTGCTTCTCTTTTATGTCTTGCAAGAGTTGGACTAGATACCAACCCTGTGCCTGTTGGACTGGGTATCTCCCTGAAGCTGAGACATCAGAGAGCTGGAGGTGCCAAACATGGCCATCTGTCGTCCAATCAGAGGGGTTCACAGCAAGCCAGATCCTTCTCCAGCGTCCCACAGAGGTTTTGAAGAAACTGCTTTGCACCTCTAGTATGCAGTAACCCCATTGCTCTACATAAGACATAAAGTAGGTGTTAGGAGGGTCTGTGGGATTTATTTTCTCCCAGGAGGCTCTTCAGTTCTTATGATCAGAGTTCACTCCTATACAGATTAAGAAAATCCAAAAGTTAAGTGACATCGCTGCGGACTCTTCTATGTGCTCATTGTGAAGCATGCTGAGGAGATGACCAAGAGGAACAGGAAAAAGTAATTGGAATGAAAGTGCAACCCTAAATTGTAGGATATATGCTATTAATACTAGAGAAGTTTAGAGAGGCTGGAAGAGAGGTAATCACAGGGAGCAGAAGAAGGGGAGGAGAGTGAGCAGAGTGTATCTTTTTGGTCTGGTCAGCCACTGATCAGGAGGACATGGGCTGAGGTACAAAGCAAGGACTGGCCCAGTAGCACTGACTGACCAATGAAAGGGCAGATTCATTGTGAAAGCTGAGCAGGAAGTGAGACTGAACTGACAGTCTGGGGCTGTGGTGGGGCAGAGCATTTAGGCACTGTGTGCCCCTCAGCAGAGAGCCCTATAGGTTCCTGTGTTTGCAGACCCACAGATCAAAGTGATTTGCATGTGGGGATGCTAGCGTCTGCTTCCAGGTGAGAAGCAGGGCCTCAGCTGGAAGCCAGTCTCATTGTCGCCTTTAGCACCTACCATTACTTCTAAAGAGAGCTCAATTTGCAGTAACAGGCTAGGGACTTCTCCCTCAGCACCTTGGGGAAGAAGTGTTGCAATATAGGATAAGCTAGTGCTTCTCAGCCCTTCGTGCAGGAGAAACCAAGGACACTAATGTTGTTGCCAGCTCTAACCTAGCATTACTACGAACTTGCATTACTGTGGAGGAAACAGTTGCCTTGGAAGAAAGACCAAGTTCAGGTCTCAGTAGTGCCTTGGACTCTCAACATCTCTCACAACACATTAACCTCTTTTATAAGGAAGGGAGCCAGACCTGATGATTGTTTCAACACATGCTTGCCATGTGTTAGAACTATGGATATGAAGGTCAAGATACTATCCATCATGACCACTTTTAATGAGTGGGCTGCAGCCTGAAGACAAGTGTGCAGACCACTGCAATGCAGTGTGCTCGTTCTGGGGAAGATTCTGAGCAAAGAACTCCAGGAATGTGCACAGGAGTGGCTGCCCCAGCCCTGAGATCCCTTTTCCTTCAGACTCTGAGTTGACTACTTTACTCCCTCTTTGTGTTGGAAGTGGGGCTGTAGTCTAGACTCCCCCTCTTGCCCTTCCACATGGTGACTGGGTCCTGCTCCTCCATCTGCTGCCTGTGCAGCAAATCTACCCATCTTTTGCCATTAGCATCAAGCATCACTGCCTGGCTGGAGCTATTATCCTCTCTCAGCCAGAGGCTGGAGAACCCTAACTGGTCTCACTGTCCCTCCTTCCTGCACTTCAGTCTACCTTTCCCCAGCAATTACATCTATTTTCAAATAAAACTACTGGCACCCTTCAAAAGCTCTCCATTGAGCTCACAGACTAGAATTCTTGGCCTCTGTTTGCCTCTCCAGCTTCCTCCCTCTGTGGTGACTCTTTTCATATCACACTCCATTACTGGCCCCCCTTTCTACACCCCCAGGCACTATGAATACCACTGCTTCTGTTGCTTCCTCTGTGCCACAGTCTCCTCTTCTGTTTTACCACATTCTCCCTTCTCACCCCACTCCAACCTTTAACCTCACTCATCCTACAAGATTTAGCTTACCCCTCACCTCTTCCCATCTGGCCTGAGCACTTCTTTGGTATGAATACTTCTGTTGGAGCACAAATTAAAAAAATTCAGCCAGGTGTAGTGACTCAAGCCTATAATCTTAGTTAGTTGGGAGGTATAGATCAGGAGGATGATGGTTTGAGGCCAGCTTGGGCAAAAAGTTTGCAAGACCCCTATCTTAACCAATGGCTGGGAGTAGTGTCACACAACTGTCATCCCAGCTACTTAGGGGAAGCACAAATACAAAGATCTTGGTCCAGGCTGACCCAGGCATAAAAATCTCAAAAATAACTAACACAAAAGGAGCTGGTGGAGTAGCTCAAGTAGTAGACTGCCTGCCTAGCAAGTGTGAGGCCCTGAGTTCAATACACAGTTAAAAAAAGAAAAGCAAAAAGAAAAAAATTCAGAATTTAGCCATGTATCTGTTTATGCTTTTCTCCTATTGTCCTATAAGTTTAAAAGTAGGAAGTGTGTCTTCTTAAAGTTTGTTTCTAGAAAGTAATAGTCATTTATTAGGAATAAGCTACGTTCCAAGAAGAATGTCAGAGCTTTAGCATGTTCTTATTGTTGATCCTAGCAACAGGCTTATGAGATAGACAGTATTATTATTATTCCCATTTTTATGGATGAAGATGCCCAAAGTCAAACCTGCAGTAAGTCTAAATCCAGGCTTTTTTTCTGACTCAGATGTCTGTGGGTGAAAGCCCTTTCTGGCTAAAATGAGCTGTTGAAATCATTACAAAAGAAATCTCTTAAACAGAGTTCACTGGACCTAAAGGCAAGAGAGCCCCAAACTGTCCTTCTTACATTCCTGCAACTGGAAGTGAATACTTTGTGGCTTACCTCATAAGAACTTAAGAACAAATGCAACCAGACGAACAGTGTTGTCAACTATTCAGGGAGCGATGGAAGGCATACTTTGTCTCACCTTTTGCAGCAGTAAGGAAGAATGGATAATATCCTGCCATAAAAGCAGCCACAAGAAGATAACAGCTGAAATTTTAATGAATTCTTAAAAGCTGAATGCAGACTGACATGAAAGTTTAGGGTTGCTCTGAGTCTCAGGCACAAGAGGAATCCAAAATCACTTGGTGGCTCTTTTCCACAAGAACCACAGGAAGCAGTACATAAGACCCAAAAAAACTTCCTCCAGGGGTACGCAGGGATGAAACCTTGCCTTTTTCCTGAACTTTTGGCTCATAGGAAGCAAAAGCTATAAAGCCACCAGAAGAGGGACAAGTAGCCCTCTCTGCTATTAATGGGGGTTTAGGAAGAAAAACCAAACACCAGTGGCAGATAGCAGGAGACTCCAGGCTTGGAGCCCATGAAGACACATGACAGAGATCTGCTACCTCTTCATGAGGGGCAGAAACTTGTTCCCTGCCCCTAGAAGAACCTCCACTGATACAAAGCCAATTTCTGTGATTTGGGGAAAGAGGGACAGGTACACTAAGAAGAGATATAAAATGTCCCCACAAGCTCATGTGTTGCAGGCTTGGTTCCCAGCTGGTGACGCTGTTGAGAAGTAATCGGGTCACGAAGGTACTAACCTCACCAATGGATTAAACCACTGATGACTTCCTAGCTGAGTGGGCTTATAGGAAGAGGGACCTAGTTGGAGGATCGTCACTGGGGGTGTGTCTTCTAAAGGTGTAACTTGTTCCCGGACCCCTCCTCTCCCACTCCCTGGCTGCCATGAGGTTAGCAGGTGTGTCTGCCACATGTTCCCACTGTCATGGTGCACTGCTTTGCCTCAGGCTCAGAGCAATGGGGCCGGCCAAGCACGAACTGAACCCTCAGAAAAAGTGAGCCAAAATAAACCTTTCCTCCCTTAAGTTGTTTTTGTCTAGTATTTAGCCTTAGCAATGAAAACCTAACTAACACAGGCTCCTTTGGTGAGGCCCAGACACAAAGAGTCTGCACAAGACTGAGGCTGACACAGGAGAAACAAAAAATGACTCCTACCCTCTTCAGGAGGCTTGAAGTGAGAAACAAGCAACTGCTGTCATCACTGATGACGGTAAGAGTGCAGAGACTTCCTGTGTAGCCTGGGCATGTGGTCAACTTGTTAGGAAAAACGCTGCTGACAAAGAAGCTCATGAGAAAAGTCTCACGTACATAGAGCAAAGGAAAGCTTGTAGTCAGCCAAGAATATGGTGAAAGGAGTGTGATTGCCAGAGTATATGGCAAAAAAAAAAATGTCTTTTACAAGAAACTGCAAGCTGTCTTTTAAAGTGGCTGCACCATTTTGCACTGTACTAGCAATGAATGAGAGTTCCTGTTGCTCCACGTCCCTGTCAGCATTTGGTGTTGTTGGTGATTGCGGTTTTGACCTTCCATGGTTATATGATTGGGTGTACAGTGGTGTCTCTTGTTATAATTTGGAAATTTCATTTTTAGTGACATGATGTTGAGCATCATTTTATATGCTTATTTGCCATCTATGTATCTTCTTTGGTGAGGTGTCTATTCAGATCTTTTGCCCATTTTTAATTAGGTTGTTGTTCCCTTATTTAGGGACAAATCTTTC